TCTCTCTCTCTCTCTAATAGTGTGTTTGATATGGTAAAAAAATGGGTGAAAGAAAAGTGAGGGAGGGAAAATGAAGGGAAAAAAATGATTTTCATTGTTTAGTACCAATGAAAAGTATGATAGAGTGGAAAGTGAGCGAGAATCTCTATCTTTCTAGTCCACCAAATATTTTTAACTCAAATTTGGGCAAAAATTAGAGAAAAAAAGTGAAGGCAATGCAATAATTTTTTAAGTTAAATTTTTTACTATTTACTTATTGGAGTGAAAAAAACATATCTAATAGTAGAATTGTAAATTGGGTATATATATATTTTCTTTCCTTTCATTTTTCATCTAATACTAAACAATAGAAAATATATTCTTCTTACTTTTTATCTCTTCTACCAAATAAAAAAGAAGAAAAATAACTTTTTTTCTTTCAAGGATAAAAACCTTTATTCTTTCCATTTTCCTTTCCTTCCTTCCTTCTTTTTATCTTTTGTACCAAACAGATGATAAAGGTTGTATGAAAATACTTTTTCTTTTCCAGTCTAAAAATTATATTTTGACTTCCTGAATATTCTACTTTAATACTCTTCTCAGCTTCAGTGTCTACCTCAGTTGTTTGCAATGGAAGGGACTATGAACGTCCGTCCCATGAATCGTCAGTAAATCATGCATTTCACCTCGGATTCAAAATTCTCCATGGAAGTATTTGTGATTTCCTTACATTTCATTTCGAATTAATTTTCACTAAATAAATCAAGGATAACTTCATTTTTTATAGAGACAATTCAATTGGCACATTGCGTGTTCAAATTTTTAAATCAACTATTTTGAATTAATATTGAAATTGTCTATCAATTATCTTTATGATAGAACGCAACATACACAAGAGTCTTATCTTAAAAGACCTTTTCACCATATGAAAAAAAAAATTAAAAAGAAATTGGAAAAATTGGGAACCTAAAAAAGTAAATAATTGCATGAAATACAAAAAAAAAAAAAATTGAAATCCAAAAAAAAACACATTTAGGCTAAATTAGTAATGTATGACGTGCGTTACACGTAAATAAATTTAAATAATATTTTTTTATAAGCGTGAATTATATGTGTAATTAAATTAAATAATAAATTAGGTATAATTGATCTCTATTTTAATTATTACTTTATTCTATAAGGCTTTGAGTACTTAATATGCCATTTATTTATGAATCTTTTTTTGTTGTATTAAATAGATTGATTAAATCGCTTATATTATTATTATATTATTTCATATCAAAAAATAAAAATATCATATATTTGAGAGTAGAATTCAATCTGATAACTCCTTGTGTATAATAATTTAACATATATAAGAATTTTACTTTATATAGATATATAAAATTGTATATAATTGTACTACTAATAAATGAGTTTAAAAAAATTTAGAAATCCTTATAAAAGAGTTCAAAGTAAGTTCAAAGTGAAATATGAGTAAAAAAATAAAAATTAGATAAAAGTATATAAGTGGATATAATTGATTTTATCATAATAATTAGGGATAAAATTAAAAATTAAAAATTAAAAAATTTTGGCACATCTTGACATTTATAAGTAAAATATAGGTATAGGTATAGATGTAGATAGGTACGTAATTAAATTTTTTTGTTCTTTTTATTGTCATTGTGATGCTGGAAATAAAATAATCATTTATCCAATTATAAGAATATTATAAAAATTAGTGAATCTTATTACATCTTTGTCATAATTTTTTGCCAAGCAATATGAAAAATCCAAATTAATGATTGTTTTTTCTTGGATCTCTTCAACCACACGAAATTATTGAATGCAAAACGAAAATGAAAAGAAAAAGACCTTTGCACCAAGGGACTTGTATAGCGTAATTATCTAGAACTCTAATTCTTATAAAAAAAAAAATAAATCAAATTTTTTTCATTTGATTGTGATATTTCAACTGTCTAAAAATAAATATTAAATACAAAACAATTCAGGCGGTCTACGTCTACCAGATTTCTCGATGTTATCGTCAAGTTTTTTTATTCATTTTTTTTAAATCCAAAAAATTATGGTTTTGTTTATATTACAAACATAATTGTACAAGTAATCATACCAAACAACCGCTATTTTGACGCATGCAATGCCCCACTAGGCACCAAGTGTTCATTAGTGCCTTGATTATCACCGCTCTCTCTCTCTCTCTCACAGGAAAACACTGTAACAGCCTCTCCCTGTTATGCTCTTCCCCGTTTTGCTCTCCCTTTGCTTTCTTCCGTTTTACACCATCTTTTATCCCTCAAACAAACCCTTGAAACACTCAAAATACAGAGATACATCATATACATAGAGAGAGAGAGAGAGAGAGAGAGAGAGAGAGAGAAACTGTGTAGGACCTATGGGTTGCATACCTATCATGCAGTTGTAGAGATGGAAACAACGATCCAAATAAAACCATTGGTTTTCAGATGTTTCTTTTTCTCTCTTTTTCTCTCTATGCTTTTCCTCCTCTTTCTCTGTCGCCAAGCCACCACCAAGCCACCAACCTACGTCGACACCAACACAAACACGGACCTGAGAATTCGACCCGGATACACCTCTTACGAAGCATACATCCAACGGCAGCTCAACAAAACCCTAAACGATAAACTCCGTCGAATATGGACCACCCGTGATTGGGAGCGAAAGATCCAAATTTTCTCTATCTTCTTCACGGAACTCAAACACAAAAACCTCCTCTCCAACTCCTCCAAATCTCTCTCCATCGGAGCTCGGGTCGGGCAAGAAGTCGAAGCACTGAAACGGATCGGAGTATCTGACTCAATCGGCATTGACCTGGTCCCATACCCACCTCTCGTGATACATGGAGACTTTCATCACCAGCCGTTCCATAATGAGACTTTCGATTTTGAGTTCTCGAACGTGTTTGATCATGCTCTGTACCCAGATAAATTCGTTGGGGAGATCGAACGGACTTTGAAGCCTGGTGGGGTTTGTGTTCTACACGTGGCATTGTCGAGACGGTCCGATAAGTATTCAGCTAATGACTTGTACAGTGTCGAACCGTTGAAGAAGTTGTTTCGCGGGTCTGAGTTACTTTATGTGAGAACCGTTGATGGGTTCGGGTTGGATACTGAAGTGGTTTTCAGGAAACGGGTGACTTTACGATCTTGATTGGTTTTGTTTTCATTTTTTTTTACGATGATGGTCATAGTGAAGTGTACACATTTTAATTTATAAACTTTTATTGAATATTTGTTGAATACATGATTATTTACTTAGACTTAATCTCAATATCTAATCAGATTTGGATCTAAAGAAAAGGCGACAGTCTTAAATAAATTTATCTGACGGTCACTAACATTCTTCTCAAAATCATTCATGTTGTATCGTGTTTTCAGATACAAGTTTAATATAATAGTTGAATTAATTGTGAATTCTAATATACATAAAATCCACTTTTAATTCAATAATTCTAATTAATTAAGTTTCAAATAGTATTTTTTTTTTATCACATTTGGTTAGATAAAGAACTAGCGGCATCCCGTATATTTTCTACTCTCATCCCACCCTAGTATTGTTGAAAGATTATTCATTACTTTGATAAATTAAAGAGGATAAAATAAAATAATTTTGTGGGAGTAATTGTTATTAAATAATTAAAAATTAAATTTAGAGGAGAGATATTGTGTGAGAGAGATACCAGAAAGGGAGACATAATGGGAGAAAAACTTGGGACAATTGAGAAATTTTTGGAATTATTATCTTATTAATTAGGTTCAGTGGTATAAAGACAAATCAAAATTTTAAATTTTAAAAATAAAAAATTCAAGGAAATTGGGATGAAATTTTAGAGCTTATCCAAGCCAAGCCAACAATATTAATTTTTTTTTTAATTTTTAATGTTTGCAAAAAACACCTATAATCTCACTATATATATAAATCAATTTTGTTTTAATTCCACTAATATTTGAATCAGTTAGATTTTTAATTTTTAAAAACTCATTTCTTGGGAATTTGACAGAATCATTCAATTCCATTAGCACCTCTAACACATCCCTCTCCGCTTTTCATGCAGAACTCTCTCTCCACACACAATCTTGCATGCGCATTGAGCGGTCCACCTACCATAGTGGTTATGGCGTGAGGATGATCCTAATGATTAATCATCAGCGAGGATCAAAAATTTATTTTTGGTGTATTATTTTGATCACTTAGAGAACATAAACGTTTTGACGAATTTCAAAAATATTTTAACCTATTTCGAAAACATAATGAAAAAATAAAAATAAATAATTTTTTTTCTAAAATATTAGTCAAAATATATCAAAATATCTTAAAACATTTCAAAACAATTATACAAATACATTGAAATGTTACAAAATACCTCAAAATATTATAAAAACACCTTGAAATATTAAAATTTTAATTTTATCGCTGATTCATTTCAATCTTATTAAAAAAAAAATATTTCAATTGTTTCAAAATAAAATTTTAATACTGGATCAAGAGGATGCGACCTTCAACCCATTGCTAATACATACGGTNACAAAAATATTTCAATTGTTTCAAAATAAAATTTTAAGACTGGATCAAGAGGATGCGACCTTCAACCCATTGCTAATACATACGGTGTTATATTAAATTGGTTACACTTTATTTGATTAGATGACGGAACATAATAGAAAGATTCCATTTTTAATGGACCCAAAGGAGTTGATTAAGGGTGGAAACTGAATATCAAACTAGTAAATAGAGTTAACGTCAAAATCAGTAATCGAAATAAGACCCAAAACAAGACAAGTTACATCAATTTTTTCTCGTCTTCGATTAGGAAACACAATCATTACTTGAACAAAGAGTAATTCGCGGAATGACCTTCATATTAGGCTAGTTTAAAATAAATGATTATGCGTTACAGAATCTCCAACCAAATTTTGTATTTTAATTATTCAAAAATATATATTTTTTATTTTAATTATTCACTTTTTTAAGACACACTCTAACAGATTTTTTATATTTTGACTACTTATTTTAAATATTATTTATCATATTTTGTACGTTTGTTAGAAATGTTAAAGACAGAGAGAGAAAGAATAGAAAAAAGATAAATAGTGGACAAGAGAGATAGAAAATGACAAGAGAAGAGAACACCATTGTAACAAAATTGTATCTTACTTACTCTGGATATCTTTAGAGCATGATTTTTATCTTTGAATAATTAAATTTTAGTTATTTTGTAATTTTAACCATTTTCTTGGAGATATTCTTAGAGATAGGAAACGGGTTGAACCAGGTCTATTGGCCCACCAATCAACTGCGTGTCAGAGGGCGGACAACTAAGACTGATAATCAAGTCGAGTTTTATGAGTTTAAGTTAAGTCTATGAGCTTAAAAAATTATTAAAGCTCAGCTAATTTAGAAAATTAACCGAATTCAAACCCAAAACGGCCCAAATCCAAATAACTCAACTATTTTATATATAAACGAGCCGAATTTTATAAATTTAAAAAAAACGAGCTTAAAAAATTATTTAACCTCAACTCCTTTAACTCAGCTCAATTAAATCCTATCCAACCTAAACCTGAATAATTCAACTCAATTATCAATCCAATAACTAGCAGGGGTTACATTGACTAGTGTCCCTTCATTGTTTTTTGTTCTTGTACAAGAAACCAAAATTATAAGCATATAAAACTGGCAAAGTGCCTTAATTCAAAACCTCGTTGGGGCCTGTTTGGATGTTTATTTTTTGAGGAGGTTTTGATTGAATTTATAAAACCTTTCCAAACCTAGCCCCAGCCCTAGTCCCACGGATGCACATGGGATTTGATAAAAAACCCTACCAATCTCATATTTAGTAAGAGACATAAATACATGTAAAACTCATTAATTCATGTCAAATCATATTCCTCAATTTATTAAAATATCTATTATTGGGTGAATAAAATAATAAATTTTTAAATAAAATAATCTTTTTGTCAACAAATCCAATCTCACATTTGAAACTCACCCCGCCATGGATTTCATCAAACCCCCATTTGTGGGTTTTAATCAACTATTTATTATGGGCCGATAGCGGGCCAGAATTCTTTTACCAGCCTCAAATTTTGAACGAAACATCAGTTTAAAACGTGCATTAAACTATTTTTACAAAACCCATCCTTTAAATCTCTTCTAAGCCTACATACCAAACATGCCCAAAAGCAATTCAAAAGGCCTGAGGTCAAAAGAGAGAATTTCTCAAGGGAAGGAGGATAATACATCACTACCCAAGCAAGACAAATCTATATTTGATCAGAGGATGATTCCTTGACTGTCTGGAACAACATCGACTGGCTGGCTTTCAGTATCTTCCATTTGTGATTGGGATGCTGTGAGCTTGGCCTTCTTGAATCTACTCGAACTTCGAAGGATCATATCCATGGTTATATTCTTCGGCCCTGAAGATCTGCTCCATGAACCAATTGAGGTGGTCAGAGATACCAGTGTAACAATAGTTTGGAAGTTCAGATATGCAGAGAAATGGTGTTCAGTGCTTATATTATGCCTAAACAATTTGTTTTTCGAATAAAAATTTCTGCCAAAACATTTTTGATCAGACACAAGAAAACAAATATGTGGAGTATATTAAATGCCACAATTTTCATTCGTTTAATATCAGTAAAACATGAGAAGCTTTACGGGGACTCACAGTTTCCAACAGCATATGGATTTATCAATTTTGTTTCTTATCTTTTTCCAAATGATGACAAAAGGACTCGCCATTTTGTCTCGCTAGTAAGAAATCTCATTTGATCACAAAACTAGTAAGTTTTATAAAAGTAGGCTCATGTGATGTGTGTGCGTGTGTTACATAGAATCAATCATACAAGTTTAACTCCCATACGCCTTAGTATTTACTGGTGGTTTTCTTTAGTTAGGAGATCTTTACATAAAGCTGGGGGAAGAGTAACTGTGGTAGAGAAAGATAGTTCTCAGAAGCAGTTATAGCAATGGAAGGGATTTAAATTATAAGTGATTCGTGTGACTAATTAGAGGTTAACACATTTCGGTCGCATATCATAACACAGTTGCACACACTTTTAATATAGTGAGAGTCAAAGTAGGAGACAAAACCTAGCCCTGGCTTAATATGTGGTAATAGATCTAATAGACAGGTGAAGTTACTCCTTTTTAACCAGGCTCTGCAGGAAACAGGTGCACCACGTCCCGCTCAACAATCATAAGCAAAGTCGAGCTTCTTACGAGCAATACAGGACAAGTCTGAGAGCATATAATTGTGATCATAAACAAAATAGGTTCATAATTTATAAGCATGCTGTCTTCCAAAATAATTACAAGCAAGTGCATTCCAGGGTGTTGTATATGAACAAATTTTATTGCTGGAAAATGTCCATGAGGTGTGCATTATGCAACTATGCAAGCATGAAATCGTGAAACAGGTAAGCGAAAAATTTGTTATGACAAATAAGTAAATCTTAGACCAGCAACGAAACTTACTGTGGCTTTAAGATGTTTCTTCCAACATCTTCGTTCCTTTTTGAAGAACCTGTAGCAAATTGAGATGGGAAAAAAGGAGATGAGCTACTAGAAGTCCATACAAGAGTGGGTAGACAAATTGTAACAAAAAATTTGAGCACATATCACAACTGGTTCAGTTCAACATCAGAGGTCCTGGGAACCTAACACATCTGCAATTTTGCTCAGATATTAGATGACTGAGAAGAATGGTTTACTAAAGAAAATGTATTAATGGCCACGCTCATATTGTAAAAGTACAGTCAATCATGTATTATATTGACCAGGCACTAAAATGGAACAAATGATGAAAGCACTTGCTAAGGAGTTACCTCAATTATTTATCTTTTAAAGTAAGAGGGCAATTCATCAGAGAGTAAGCACAAGACACATTAAATACACAACGACAATATTAAACACTGATATTGGACATACCATTTCTTCGTAAGTCCCAACTCGACTGGGTTTCCCCTTCCGAGTAGCCTGATGAAGATGAATTATTTGATGGGGTGCAGGTGCTGGCACTAGAATTTACAGTCCCATTTTCATCAGCAGAACTCTCATCACTACCATCCATAAAAATTGACCCTGGTATAGTCAACAAACTCTTCTCACGTTCTAAATTGTTCTTGCCAGAAATTTTTCTAGCTGCCACATGATGCCTTTCGTCCCTTTTATTTGGGAGTGA